GACCTAAAGCAAAGTATGCTAGTCATTTATTTCATTAGCATGGCCACCTGTACTTTTTTTTTTTGAAAGGCTGAACCTTTTAAAACAAGAAGGTCATGTCAAAAAGTAACGCTCAAAAGTGCAGCAGCAGAACTTGGTCATGAAAATCGCGTGCATGTGTTGAGCTGTAGGTCACTGCGTCGTTCTTTACCTAGTGCTATAGGTCGCAGTCAGTGGTAAAGTAACATTCCTAGAGCTTCACAGGACAACCTGCGCAAAAGATGAGATGAAGGGAGGAGGGGGGAAAATAAACAAATAAATAAATACAGGAATGGAAGAGGGACTGATGAAATGGAGCCAAGTGTGACGACCTGCTGCAAGAGAAGCGGAGTGTGTGTGTGTGTGAGGGGAAAGAGAAAGCGATCGCAGCACACAAATGCAATAGACGAAGCAACTCACCCTTGCAGCGAGACGTGCTAGTGAGAGGTGCTGCGACAAGGTGACATAAGGGAATAACATGTGGTCTAAAGACCAAAGGAAAGTAAATTAAAAACCATCTACTGTAAAATCATCAATATGTAGCCGTATATCCCTTTTTTCAGCAGAGCACATGTACTATTACTTGGAGCATGTCCACTGGGAGAAGTTACTATTGTTGAGAATTCCAGAGCAGAAATAAATTTGAAATGAAAAAAAAAGGCAAATATACAGACATTGTAGTGTTTTTCTATTTTTAAGATGACGTTAAATTTGGGCGAGCCTGATTAGAATAAACATCACACTATATACACACACACACACACACAACACTTAAGTATTGTTTTCTGCACATCTCTTGCTCATGTTTTCTCTCTCTTTTTTCTTTTTTTACACTGAACACTGCACCTGTCTGCATTCGTCTCAGGACTCAAGGTGAAAGATAAGGTTGCTCCGAGACATTTTAAAAGGTAGCCTAAAAATGACGATTCATCTCGCTGGCAGCATGTCTGAGGATGTTATAAAAGGTTTTCTGTGTTCCCAATCCTTCAGTGATGGACTGTACGTCCTTGGAGCTTTTCAAAAATCCCATGTTTATTGAAATGATTTAAAAACTTGCCAATAACTACATCTTTACACAAGAAAATATACTGTAGGAGCAAGACTGGGAGGGATTCATAGAAACAGGCTGCCGTGACAAGACCGTATGGATGCAATGTGAGCCTTAGCCAGCTTCCTTGATGCTTGACAGTGTTTAGAAATGTAAATGTGCTGGGATGTAAATTTTTAGTAAAAAAAGTGTTTGCATGTAGCACAGGAAGGGAAAGTGATTGAGCTAGTAATCGGTTCCGATGAGCGCAACCATTTGCATCATAGACAGATGCATCGTAACTTTAACTCTCAGTCTCTCTAGAACCTTCATCTTTATTCAGGTCCCCTTTGAGTTGTTTTGAAATGATTGGAAATGATATACATCTGTAGTCACTGATGTGAGAAAGCACAAGTTTGATAGTGATCAAGTGGCTTGGGACAGCGACTGCTCGTTTAGTCGATCACATGAGATCTGGATTCGGTCTCTTTTGCTCAGATTAATTCTCGTCAAAAGGATTGGAATGTTGTCCCAGGTGTAGCAATTCCATAAAATCTGGTCATGTGTCCCCGGGATTTAAGCAATGACCCCACGTGCAATTATGGAAAAATTATAGAAGCAGCGATCAAGTTTTGTACCATTGAAAAGGAGGCATCACCTTATAATGTTTAACATTTTAACATAAAAATGAGTCAGACCATCATGCATTCAAAACCATCATCAACAAAACAAAAAGAGCATGCCAATTCGAGAAGACACAGCGATGAGGGATCTCTATGTTGAGGACACATCAGTTGCAGATATATTGAACTGTAATTGCATCAGGAGGAAATGTTTATAAAGTAGGAATTTCTTCAGGCTGAAGCAATATAAGTGGCAGGAACACAAGCATTAGGCCCCGAATCCAGGCGCAATATTGCGAGAGACCCAGGGCGAGAGAAGCATTGATGTAATTTCAATATTTGAAATTGGCAAGTTTAATTTAGAGTAAGAACAAGCCAATAAGCTGAGAAAATAGCAAATACAAGAGAGAAAATTACCTTGCAGGATGAAAAAAGTGAAAAGACTTAAGGAATGTATAAAAGTAATCTCCAAGTGGAAATTAGAAATCAACCCACAGAAAAGGGAATAACAGAAAAGAAATATTACTGTCCACTCTCTAAATCAATATAAAATTGCTATGAGACAGAATTACCATGGTAACTCAAGTAAAGAATGAAGCAATTCTTTTTTCTTTTCTTTCTTTTTTTTTTTTTTATAAAAACTGGTGCCTGAAGCTCCAAGTTTTATTACAGCAGCAGACAGATCAGGGGTCTAGTATTCATTTGAAACATTGCATTTCAAATACATGCATTAGGACCGAACAGATTTCATTGGTCAGTCGACACGCATGGCTCGTAAATTAAACGGTGAACGGTAACTTAGAATTTATCATCAGGATGAAGAATAGAACGGTGTTCTTTTCTCTTCACCAGGTTCTAGGGAGCCCAGCGATGCGAATGATCAATCCTGAGCAAGTCCACAATGAGGACCCAATTATTCCTCCCAATCCAGATAGTTTTAAATACCTTGAAGGGAAAGAAAATGTCTGAATAGCGTATTTCTCCAGAGAGAATTAAAAGTCAACCGAGAGCTTCTTTTATTTAAAGGTAGTCATGAAAAGGAGTTGTCCTTGTTCTGTGTACCTTAACACATTTCCCCACTACCTCCTCAAAGTCATGGTAAGAAAGTACAAGAGCAAGTATTGTATCATGTTGTGGCCTGAAAGCAGTACAGTTTTTTTTTTTTGCAAGGATCAAATACAGTGCAAAGACCACTGATGACAAAGCCTGCAATGCTCATATGTGAAAGGATTGATGGTTTGGGAAGGCAGTGTAATAGTAGTACAATAGCGAGAGTGTGCAAAACCCCGTCACAAGCCCCACATTGCTCTACTTTCAATCTCCTGTGCTTAGTACATCGCATAGATGTGAATGACCCAATATTTCACATAGAAAAATTTACACATTTTGAAACTTCCTAATAAAGCTTGCTAACAGTGCAGGGGGAATTTTAGGTCAGAAAACTAAAGCAAGCTTAGAGTATAGTAAAAACTACTTTGTATCCTACTTTGAGGATGTCAGAGAGAAGGTAACAGGATAATTCCTCTATTGCTGAACTTAGTAATTTCACAGTCACATTGAGACGCTTTGGACGTTTTGGTATGTAAACCAAATACAGAGCTGGCACTGACATCTGTAACTTTCAGAATTGTTACAAAACCGCAATCATAAAACATTTTTTTTTTGAAGAACATTTCTAAATCTGAAATATCACAATGCACCAGCAAGTTCTAAAGTACTGAGGATCTGTTGACTTTTGTCTGGGTGATGTTAACTAACATGAGGGTTGTGCATATGGTTGTATTTTTTTCACAAGGCTCAGTTCAATTCATCACTAGCTTCCCTCACTTTGAATCCAGTACAAGCTGTACCCAACTATGAGGGTACTATACCTCAACTGATATATTTAGTTAAGTGTGTGTGTGTGTGTGTGTGTGTGTGTGTGAGAGAGAGAGAGAGAGAGAGAGAGAGAGAGAGAGAGAGAGAGAGAGAGAGAGAGAGAGAGAGAGAGAGAGAGAGAGAGAGAGAGAGAGAGAGAGAGAGAGAGCAGATCCAAGCTGCCTCCCCATCCCTGCCAAAATGCCAGCGCAGTTGGTCGGCACCAGCAAGCAAAGGGTGAAGCTTTTAGGCAATGAGCAGCAGGTGATCTAAGCTTTTCTGTAAGTCCTAATGCTCCTAAAAGCCACTCTCCCTGCTTCTGTAATTGGGCATCAGTAGTTAATGTAGTATTGACTGCATTACATGCTCCTGTGCATCCTCTCCTACTAATGCCATTTGCATCACCTTGTACATTTACCATATTGCTTAGCCAATAGCTGTTAAAAGCAATCTCAATCATGAATCATATGGGGAACTTTTAGCAAGACAGACATCCAAAGGAGACAATTTACAGTTGAGTTAATCTGGGTACATTAGCGCAACATGGATTGAGCGAGACAGACCAATTTATGTTTCTACGGCAATCCCTTTATTGGTTTTTAGATGGGTTAGTGAAAGGATGGTTGGCTCAAAGAGATATGAAATATCCATTTTCAAACATAAATATGGGCCTGAAATGCAAGCCATTACTTTAGAGGGGAAAGGGCCCCTGGCTAAAACTAAATGTGTGCGTGATGACAATATTCCATAAAAGATGACAGGAAAGGCATTTTTAGGTCAGAGACGCTTTGTAGAGATTTTTTTCCCCTCTCTCAACACTGTTACAGAAACATATCGGAATAAAAAAAAAAACGGGATTCAGCTTCACCAAAAACTTGTCAGCACAACAAGCTCCAAAAGAAAAGTTTATAAACGGTTTCCATAGGAACCAGAGTGCAGCGTATATACGTGCATTGTTCATGTGCGTGTAAAAACACAAAATGCCTACAAACTAAATACTCTATCAATTTGGTGATAAAATAGTCCTCTATTACACTTATCATCAGTATGGGTTAAGGTTCAAATGCTCTCACCTGTGAGCGAGGGCAGCCGCTGCGAATGAAACATCTCCGTAACTTCACAGATTTGCACGAGCGCTAACTGATACTGCGGTGAATAGCGACGTTGGTTCAGCTCAATCTACGTCTTTTAAACAGATAACATCATATTTCATACACGGGGACTGTAGAGAATTTCACCGCATTCTGCATGTCTCTCCCGACTCGAAGTCTTTCAGAGTAGCCAGCTACCGTACGCGCTCCCTCCCTCATGTAAACCTGACGAACGAATGTGACCGTTTGATGACAAACGATTTGGAACATGAAAGTGCCGTTCGAAGAGAAAATGGACGCTAAATACTGCATTTCCTTACTGTCCCACGTTCTTCATAGTCGTAGAGAGCAAATGAATGCACTAATAATCATCCGTGCACTTACCCTCTTCCTTGTCTAACACCATCGTCCTGAGGAGCGAGGAGTCCGGCTCCAGGCGATCCGTTCTCGGCTCCAGCACACTTCTGCGCGCGCCGCTCGCGTCTCTGAGAAGAAATTGCTTTGCAACAAGAAAATAATAATCGTCCGTGTTGTGTTGTTGCCACAAGCTTTAATTATACAGGCTCGTCTGTGTGGTTTTCCGCTGTTCAGAGACGGAAAGCCATTTAGAGTAGCATATGTGTGTCTGTTGTTCTATTCTTTAATGTATTTCGGAGATTATATGCAGCGATGTCCCCCCAGTTGTGTTCGTGGACGCAGCGCGTCGGTAATATCCACGCTTGCAATTAACGATGTCTAAAACTAAAGTGAGACGCCACGGTGCATTCCATGCGAAAATGAAACGACTACTCTAACTCAAATCTAATTTCAAACACCCGTTTAAATTGAGCTGCCGCGAAGAAGCTCTCGGAGTAGAAACGTGGTCCTCCCAGTTCTCATTTGCTCCGAAACTGTAACTATATTCAAGAAATCCAATTCTGAGGCTGACAACTCCTAACAGCATGCTCGCGCTGCCTTTCTCACCCAATTTATGCGCTCCGCGCGCTCCTGCTACTGAATAAATGCGCGCGCTTCCCAGAGAGCCACGGATTCCCCTGTTAATTAAATCAATTCATTATGCTCAGATCTGATTAGCAGCCCTTCCCCCCTCTTTGAATCAATTATTCAATACACAAACATAATTGCTTGTGCCAGAGGTGTCTAAGTATTAGCTTATTTAACTCCAAGGACACTAATTACCCCTAGGGCAAGGGAACTTTTCTCATTAATTCTGACAAAACACAAAAGCACAGCTAAGGGAAAGTGTGTGTATGTGTATGCATGTGTGTTTCTCAGAGTGTGTGAAGTGCTCACATGGGGATGTGTGTGTACGTGTGTTCTTGTGTGATTGTGATGTGTGTTATAAATAGAGAAAAGAGGGTTTGAGCTTTTGAAAACATTTTGAACTACGCTTATGATCTAATTCGTTCACATTCTTCATTATTGTCATTATAATATTTCCACTGGATGTGTATGATCAGCTAGACGACTCACTTTCCATATTCAGATAAACATTAATTTTGAGAGCAACAACACAACAGATGGGCTGTGTTTTGATTAGCGGTGAGATAGGAGACTGCGTTTGGCTCTGGTAATATAATTGTTAGCTGTTACTTTGCTGATAAAAGTGTTACTGTTTCATGGCGGGCAATTTGTGTGGTTTTCACCAGCCCTGCAGAGACTCTTAACCAATCAAGTCAGAGATCCACCCGAGATTAACCATTAGGGGAGATGCAGAGGTTACAAGTGCTCTGTTTGCTAGCAAGTCTGGCATGCTATTTTTCCTTTACTTTTATTTTACATCCCTGTCAAAGTAGAGATGGTGCCTCTTTTAATGTATCTGAGATCTGGATCTCCCTGAAGGTGATGCATAGACATAAATTATGAAATCGTAATTCATATCTACCATGCCCCCAGACATTCATTCGTAGTTTAATTCAAACTATAGGCTGTCGCAACCTTAGCAGATTGGGACATTACGCTGGCCCTAAAATCCATTGTTTGAGCCTTTGCACTCTGCCTCTCTTGCTTGACATGTCTGACTTTTCATTTCTGCAGTGTGATAGATGGATGACTTTTGATCACAAATGTATGTCGGCTGACCTCTTGCAGAAGTAAATGACACCCAATTATACCAATCACAAAGAAGAAACTGAGGGAACAAGGAAAGCGTGGCCCCTTGTTGTTGAATGCTGGGCTACAAAAGGCCTCCTGACAGTTAAATGGGAAACAATAACATGGTCGGCCTCTAAGTGCTGCTATGGTGTTATAAAAACCCATATTCTTACAAAAAGAGAAAGATTCATCTGATTAAATATGAACACAAATTATGTTCTATATTTAAAGGGTCATTTTCGGACTGAGAGCGAGATGTAAGCCTATAGAGTGGTTCATTATTAGAAAACATCAGGTTGTGATCTTCTGGCTTTCTTATGAAGCCCTCTAGGAATTACTTTGAGTGCAGTGACACGTATCATGCTTCCCTTCTGAGCTGATGGTCAGTGATGGAGCGATCCATTGTTTCTTTATTATTAGGAGTGTGTCCGTGTTCGACGGGGTCAGCTGTGACTGGAAACCACCCTGGAGTGTGGGCCTTGTGTTGCTAAGTTAATTAAAATTCATTTTTGATTGGGAATTAAGCAGGCCCATCTATTTACTGCTGGGGCTCACATTCAGCCAGTTCAAAAACACAGCACAGTAATTAACCCCACCTAATCAGATAGCATAGAGCCGGGTTGGGTTCCCATTTATCCTGGGGCAAACAATCAGTGGATGGTAGAGTCAGGGAGAGGTTGAACACGAGCCTCTCCTATATTTCATAATGCTTAAGCTGATTATAAACCAATATCAGACATGGTACTTTTCTCTAACTGCGTTCAATGGAAAGTCCTGCTTGGAGGAGAGACTCGGAGAGGCTTGTCGTGATGATATCTGATAAATGAGATAAATGATGCACATGATAGATGGTGCTTGCTTACATTGGCTTAAATGAATTCAAATACCAGTTGAAAGTTGTCCTCTTATTCTTTCATTTGATGGACAGCACTCAAGATTTTTTATTTCATGTGTGAGAATGATGCTTCATTGCAGATAATTGTAATTGGTTTTCGAGGATGTTTTTTTTTTTCTTCTCCCTCCTGTCTTTCTGGGCACATCCTGGGTACATTTTGTGCTGTATATTAAATGCAGAAACGTTTTTACTATTACAATGCAATATGTTTAATGTTCCACAGGACCACATCAGGTTGAAGCAGTGGACAATAGTTGTTTGTTTACTCTTCTGACAGTTTGTGTAGCCCCTCCTAGTGGTTGCATAATGCATGTGCACTTTTAAGTGAACAAGCAAGAGCCTTTTCTTCAGCTCTCCTTCCTGTTACAACAATGTATTACATTTAAACCACGAAACTGCCTGTGACCTTAGAGAGCCTTACTACTTGAATATGCTCCTCAATGTTTGATTGCACGAAACGGCAATTTGCAGTCCACCTTCTCATAACAAATGGGACTAGTCAAAAATAGCTTAGGTGTCATTTGGGGGCAAAGAATCCTCTTCCCAAACATTTAATCCAACTTTAATCCCAGTCATTAAGAATTAGACATGCAGAGCTGTCCGGCCGTGCCTCTAAATTACAATCAAACGGTTACCAATTACACAAATTATTGATGGTAGATTCTCTTTTCAACTGCAAATTAAGGCTATTAAGAAAGGCTCCTTTTTAATGCAAAAGTGACTAATTAACCAACGGATGGGAAATCTGCAGCCCAGATATCAAAAAAGTGCTCGGCGCACATTGCAGAAACACAAGGGAACCAATTAGTTTAATTATCAAAACAGCTAATTAAAATTGCACAGTTCCTAATTAGTTCTTTGCTTTTGCCTCTAATTGACAGTATGGAGATAAATGGGCTGCCGATGAAAAAAGAGAGAGAGAAAGGGGAGAGGAGAAAAACAGCAGAAACTTGTGCAGAATATTTATGCTGACTTTATCTCCGTCTGTGTGGCAGCCCTTGAAAGTGGAAAATTAATGACCTTAATTCCCAAACTGTTTTCCTTCTAACGGTGCTCCCCTCCATGCTCCCGGTACACTCGCCTTTGTACGGGGCTTGCCACCCTGCCAACTACTGGAATAGGGAAAAGGAGGACTTGGGGGTGGGAAGGAGCCACCAATTCTCCTCCCAATGTGACAGCTCCCACCTAACAATAGAGCGAGATGAAAGAGTGGAGCAGATGTGACCACTGGGATTTTGGCATCATGGGACTGCAACTTTGTCGCTTTTTTTTTTTTTTTTTAAGGGCTTCTGACATCTTTTCCGAGCACTAATTTGTCCCATAAAAAGAGAAGTCTGCTGGGCTGCAGATAAAAGACATTTGATGGAGGAAAATGTGCATTTATTGAATGTTCAAATGCCAGATGAATAATTGCTCTCCAAAATGTATTTATTTTCAGATTCATTTTCCCATTAAGTGACCAATGAGAGTGCTGGCACATTACTGTGTTTTATATGAAAGCCTTCCTGCTGTTGGTTGGTACCTTCTCTTTAAAGGCAGTTGAAGCTAAAAAGCAACGATGGATCCCGCTACACGAATCTTGAACGACAGCCATTTGATTTTGAAGACGGTGTTTAGTGTGCGCCAGACACACACCGGTCCTGTGCTCTGGAAAGGCCCAGACCTGGCTGTAATCCCCTCACATGTCACTGTCACAACAACCCCCTTCACATTAGAAGATAAGCATCTACTAATCAGTTTACTCAGGGGCCTGTGTTAAAATGTAAATTACATTAATGCTCAAATTATGCATTATCGTAGTCAGTGATGCCTGGCCCATAGCCTGCATAATGTTCCCATCATTTGGATGCAATCTTTTTAGGTTTGTTGTCAATGCACTCTGATTTCCCCCGGTCTGGTCAGCATCGAGTGTGATACAGCATGTAGGACATCATAAGAGAGTCACCATTTCTGAATTAGAAAGAGAGCAGCTTTTTAGCGGAGCGGCTCTAAAAGGTTGCGGTAATGACATGTCGGTTTCTTTTGCCTAGCACTTGTCCATGGAGAAAGACATTTCCGCTCTTTGCATTAATATTTCGGTGCTGGCGGTTGGAAAATTGCATAGGTATTAATTTACTTGTAATCCCAGTGAGTCAAAGTGGATTGCCTGAAGAGCTTTTAGGAACAACATTCGAAATGTGATTTATCTGTCCTCTTCCTGGCCATTTGGAAATTGCACCCTGAAGAGACCCTCGTGTTGCAGAAGCTCTTTTTTGCCCAGAGGAACCTGCTGCCCATGACTAACAAAGACACACGCTCTTGGCTAATTGATTGTCTTCTGTTTTATTTATGGAAAGGCGGTAATTAGTGGCCAGCATAATGTACGCCCTTCATTAGCACTTGGGTACCACTATGGATTTCACTGCTTTGTTTTAGACGTGCACACCATTAGGAGCAAACAAAAGATGAGAATTTATTAGCTCGGGCTCTTGTAAATATCCCTGAAATGTCTGTGTGCCTTTAAGGGGAGAGCGCAAGGCCTGTAAAACTTCTCTCAGCGCTCGCTCAGTGATTCCATTCGCGAGACGGAATATGTTAAGGAAAAAGCGGTATAAATTTAATTTTAATTGTTTTGTACACACGCCAGTGAAAAGGAACTGATTGGACACAGTTCACAGACAGTATATTAATATGTTATTTTCATATGTTAATTGGTTTGCATAATCTTTCCCCGTGCCTGGTTTCAGAGTACCTGGCACTGAGAAGGGACCTAGAGAGAGAAAAAGGATGACTCCAATTTACATAAAATCAGACTCTCCGAACATTAAATAATAATGCGTCTGCAAGCCGAAGGTGTGTTCAGTTAGCAGAAAGCACATTTCTATAATTTATACGCCAGCTGTTTCGATGCTTTCGAGTCCATTTGCCTCCCTGCCTGCATTTAATGAAATCTTGTTACTGGAGAATTGACTGGGTCTGAATTGAGATTTTAATCCCATTGACGTTGTGACATGGAAA